ATGTAAAACAATTGAGTCCCTTTGCCCTCTGCTGAGTCATTTCCTTCCAACAGGAGATTCAAACACTGGTCTGTATTGCAATGTATTCCTAATTTTCTTCTTTCAGTTGTGGAATTGTTTTAGAATCTTACTTAGAACTTTGAGGGTGGAACATCCTACCACATATTCTGCTTTTGATAAAAGTTTAAAACTGCTGACTGAGTGGTCATTTCATCCATCTTCCCCTGCACTCCTAGAATGGGGTCTCAGCTCCTGCCATTCCAATCCATCAGTTCAGGCTAATGGATTTGGCACAAGATGGAGTTACATGCTGGATTGGGCTTTTCAGATTCATAAGGCCATCAAGTCTAACTGGTCCACAGAGATGCAAAGCTGGAAAGGGTTCAGAGAAGGGCAACAAGACTGTCAACAAAGCACTATGAAAGGAGATTGAAAGAACAGGACATGTGTAGCTTTGAGAAGAGAAGACTAAGGAGAGATATAATAGCATTCTTCAAGTACATGAAATGTTGCCATAAGGAGGAATTCCAGGATCTCTTCTCAGTCATCCTGGAGTGCAGGAAACAGAATAAGAGGCTGAAGTTCCAGGAAGCCATATTCTGGCAGAACTTCAGCAAGAATGCTCTGTCTAGTAGAGCAGGAAGGCAATGGAACCCATGGGCTCGGTAGCTGGTGGGCATTACCTCAAGAGAGGGACTCAAGATGCAAGTGGACAGCCATCTGAGAGGGATGCCCCAACTGAGTGTCCTGCACTGAGCAGAGGGTTGGCCCTCTGGCCCCTTCCCAGTACTACCATTCTATGATTCTATGTGCTTCTATGCAGTGTGACATAAACCTATTTTTCCCCTTCTGAAAGTCAAGTGAGTCCCGTCTTCTGAGGCTGTGGTTCTTTCCCTGGTCAGGAATTATCAAAATGACAGTAATTCCACAAAATTCCTCCAGGAATTGCTCTCCAGAAAGTCCATAACAAAGAATTCTTGTAGAAAACATGTGTAACATCAATGTGCTTCAAGCCCTTGCATGTGGCGCTTGGGTGGTGTCTTTGCAATTGGCATCTGGTTGATTCCGGCTAAGCACTAATTCCCTGCTCCATTCTGCAGTCACCGCTCTTTCAGGTGCTCCTTGTCTCTGATGCAGAAGAGAAGCCTTCCCTGGGTCTCTGATGGTTTTGCACCTGCTGCTACTGCTGCTGCTGCCTTGGACCCTGCCTCAGGCCACGCAGAGGATGCTGAGAACCACTTGCCCCTTGACAGAGCCCAATGAACAGCAAGAATATTACAGGCCGAGAGATCTCATTGTTGGTGGGAATTTGCCCCTGGGCAGTTATTCTTACACAAAGACAGAAGTCTTCCATAGTTTAGCCCCATTAGACATTTCTGTTTTTCCATTGTAAGTTTCCTCAGGAGGTATCTGGGAAAGATGCTTGCTTCCTTTGCTTTAAGATTACATGCATCCTTCCAATGATATGTAGTAGAGATGGCACGGACATTCAAAAGTTTCTGCTTGAGTACCACAGGTTTGCCCTGGTGGGAGTTGGCCCATAATGACCTTCAGAGACTGGCGGGATCATCCAGGGTTCCCTTGGGTGGTTTCTGGAGGAAAGGCAGATGTAACCTGGTGCCTGGTTTCATGATTGTAATTGGTTTGTTGGTGTTATGTGCTGTCAAGTAATCTCTGACTTAGGTTGACCCTGTCTGGCTGTCTTTCCTTAGCATGATCTCTCAACAGCAATTAACCTTAAATGCTACATAGAGGATGAGATGCAGTTTGGAGGAGTAGCATGTCAGAGAAGCAGAACAGGGGCTTCATCTCATTTCTTGCAGAGATCCAGGAATTGTCACTGCTGACTACAGACTGGAACAGGATGCTCAGACAGAGAGCATCCTCCGTGGTCTGTTCCAGAAGGGCTCCTATGAAGTCATTCTGAAGCTCACACAGAAAAACTTGGCGCTTCTGTCCGTCAGAAGAGCAATTTGAACTCAGCTGTTATTCCCTCATGCAGATGATTTTGGTCTAGAAATTATTGTTATTGCTCAAGAAGGAAAGGATATTGTTAACCATCCCTAGATGTTTGTCAGAAAAGCTTTAAACAAACAAACAAACAAATATTATTTTCAACATTTAAAAAATATTAACATTAATAATAAACTATTACAAAGGGATACATATACAAAATACATCATAAAAAAAAAGAAAAAAACCGGAAGATACAGCCCCCATATATTAGGGAAAAAATGCACTTCTCCACCTATGCTTCACCCTGATCCCACATGTCAGCTTGTCATTACCAGCTACCTTAGGGTTGGACATTCTAACCCTAATTTCACATCGATTCTTATGTGTTCCTCACCCAACTCTAACAGTCAAATCTCCTCCTTGCAGCACTATAGTGAAGAACTACCAGCTCTTCCTGGCCTTGACATTCACCATCACTGAGGTCAACAAGGATCCGACTCTCCTTCCCAACACAACCCTAGGCTTCTGCGCACAGGAGCACATGGACATTGTTAAAAGGATGCATGAGAACAACCTCTCTCTGCTGTCCACGCAGGGGTGAAGGGTTCCCAATTATAAATATGACAGGCAGGACAATCTGCTCTCCATTACTGGGGGTCTTGACTCCCATTCCTCAGGGGAGATTGCATCCTATGTGGGCATCTACAAGATCCCACAGGTAGGAATCTTCTGCGGGTGTATGTGGGGGCCCGCAGAGCTCAAGAATACTAAGATACACAGACCGTTTTCCAGAAAAGGTACACCTATGCAGTGAGTGCATTGCCTTCATTCTGGTTGGCAGGACAGGAGGAAGCCTGCTTTTGCCCCACCTGCCATTCAGTAATTTGGTGGTAGCCACGGATCTCAGGAGAACATTTCCTGAATAATGCCAGCCAGCTCCCCATCTGTTATGTCAGAAAAAGTTTGGGAGTGGAAGAAACATGAAGGATTTCAGTTGCTGTTCTTGTTGCAATTGATTGTTGCAGCTACTCACCCTACAGGAATTAGAGGAAGCCCCTTGGAAGCAAAGTGAATCCAGCTTGAGCTGATATTGGCCTGTATAGAAATATGATGATTGAAAATACTTCATGTCATGATAATGGCGGCAGTCTTTAAAATGCCACATAATTCTCTGGCAAAAGACTGACCAGACATTCCTTCTTTCAGCTTGGTTATGGCTTTCTTGACCATGTTCAGGGAGAGGAAAGGGAATACCCTTCCTTTCACCATATTGATCCCCATGACATTTTCCAGTATGAGGGCTTGGTCTAGCTGCTGCTGTATTTCCACTGGAACTGGATTGTTCTGGTTGCTTCCATTGACGAGTGTGGGGAAACTTTCATCCACACCCTCACACCCATGCTCAAGCAGAAGAACATCTGTGTGGCCATTTCTGAAATGTTCAAGATTTCTGACCCAATCTATGTGCTTCAGGTTTGAAGTGGATCTATTCCTAGTTCTTGGTTTGAGGCCCAAGTGATGATTGTCTTTTCAGACTCCAGCGTTGTACAACAATTATCAGTGTTGTTGACTATCCATGGAGAAAAGACCAAGACCCCATTGAGGAAGGTTTGGATCCTGACATCCCATTGGGAAATTACCACAAATGGATTCAGATCAGGTGGGGGATGTCTCAAAAGCATCAATGGTGCCTTGTACTTCAACTCCAAAGAGGAGAGGTTTTTAAGTTCAAATCTTTTCTCACAAGCAGAAATNCATCCCAACCACATGAAGACATCTTTCTGCATTTGTGGTGGGAAATAGTCTTTCTCTGTAAGTTTTTGGAACCAGGCCAAGCCATTCCAATTGGAAAAAAAAAAAAAAAACTGTACAGGGGAGGAGAGTCTAGAAGACTTGCCAGCCTCCAAATTTGAACTGAGCATGTCCAGTCACAGCTACAGCATCTATAATGGCATTTATTGCATGGCACATGCTCTGCATGCTGTATTAGCATCCAAAAGTAGAATGACTGGGGAAGACAAGAGGAAGGCAAAGTCTGAGCCTGGCAGAAGTGATATTAGTCCATTCTAAGACTTCTGATAAAGACATGCCTCATGAGCTCCTTAGCATGTTCCATTCTGAGAGTCTGCTGAAGGCCTTGAAACTTGGGCATCTTTCTGCAATGAGAAAACCATCTCCATCTCCTGCACAAAGATACATTGCATCAAGAAGACTTCCGGTGGGTAATAGTGGGTAACCATACTCGAGAAGATGTTGGACTATTGAATTGGGGCAAATTGCTCAAGGGGGAGCTGCCCTTGAGAAGTCTGCAAACTCTACAGACTAAAGCAACAGGACTGGGAGGCAAGCTCATGTCATACTAGTCCTTTGCCTTAGTCATTAGTTACCAAATGAAGTCTGGGCCTGAATTATGGTGTTTATGTTGACATATAAAGCCCTGAATGGTTTAGGGATGGGATATCTGAAGAAAAGTTTCCTTCCATGTGCACCTGCCTGAAACTGAAGATCAACTGCCAAGGTCCTTCTCCAGGAGCCTTCTTTGAAAGAGGCCCAAAGAATCTTCCATTCCATCTTCCTAAATGGAATCTTTTCTTCCATTTTGGCAAAAACTGTCATGGTGGTCCAGGCCTTCATGGCCGCCAAGCCAGGAAATGTGGCAAGAAAGCTTTGGGGAGACATCTCACAACCTCTATTGTGCTGGCCTGTCCACTTATCCAAGTTACAATCTGTAATATCTGGCTAGTGACCTCTCCCCCTTTCCCATACTTGGACTTCCATTCCCTGACTGGAGATCGTTGTGGAATGCAATGAAGTCTCCACCACCATGTTTTCTGCTGTCCTGCCTTATATGGGCTTCCTGGCTCTCATCAGCTTTCTGGTGGCTTTCCTGGCCAGGAAATGCCTGACACCTTCAATGAAGCCAAGTTCATCACCTTCAACATGTGGAGTGTGGCACTGTGGGTGTCCTCTGATGATAACAGCATTAAGGGACAGGCTATCATACACAAAACCATTTGGAAAAAATTCAGATGTCAGATCCTGGTAATTCCATAAGTGTGAACACTACAAAAGTAGAAATTGGTAGTGTTTATGGAGGAGGAGGACAACAGCAGGAGATCCTTTGGCTCCCCCCTTCATCACCAGATTTGTAATTACTTCAAGGAATGAATGTCTGGATCCAAAAGGGAGCTTAAGGAACAGAAGGGGACTTTGAATGGGAGATTCGCAAGAACTGTATGTGAGATCTAAATAGGGGAAGAGATGCACCTGAGGATTTATGAGCACAGATTAGAATCATGCCCTAAAAGGTCGAGGAGCTCAGAAGGACAGTGCCGGGGTCTGGCTTGTTACACATGAGGGTACTTCAGAAATTGGCAGGGGTACTCTCATGCCCACAGACCTCCTTTTTCCAACCTTGTGGAGAACAGGTTAGAGGACTGGAGGGTCCTAATTTTCAAAATGGAAGTAGAGGGGGCATGTGGAATTATGGGCCAATTAGCCTTACATTCATTTTAGCAAAGACGGTGGAAAGTATCATAATAGCCAGAGATCTAGTAATCCAATTTACTAGTAAATTGAGCAGTCTCAGGATAGACTGATCCATTGCCCAATGGATAAGGGAATCGACGGACTGAAAGCAGAGGGTAACTATTAGTGGTTAATCATCAGGGTGGTGGCTTGTGACCAGTGGGGTTCCCCAGGGCTGATGTTGGTCGATCTTTTCATCAATGACGTGGAAGGAGGGGTGAACAGTCCAGTGATCATAGTTGCAGATGATACAAAATGGGGGCTCTGTTCATAACTGAGGAGTGGGTACTCTGAGTCTAGGAGGAATTGGACAGACTATTGAAGTGGGTGGGTGACAACAGGATGGAGTTCAATGCAGAAAAAGGCAAGGTCTTGTACTTGGGGCATAGGAAAGTGTGTCATAAATACATGTTCGGGGACAAGAGGCTGGAGAGCAGCACTTGTGAAAGTGGTCTCAAGGTACTGGTTGACTGCAGGCTAAAGATGATCCAGCAGTGTGATGTGGCTGTTAAGTGGGTGAATGCCACCCTTGGCTGCATAGCCAGAAGCATGGCTTCTAGATCAAGAAAGGTATTATTGCCACTCTATATGACTCTCGTGAACCTGCAGCTGGATATTGTGTTCAGTTCTGGGCTCCACATTACAGGAAGCATTAAAAGGCCACAATGAGCAGGGTAAATTTTTTTAAAAATCCTAAAAATATATGTCTTTGCCTGGCACTGAAAGGAAAATAGAGGTGGCTCCAGGGGAATTTCCCCATAGAGCAAGTTCCAAACCTGGGAAGCAGCAGCAGAAAAGGCCCTTTGCCTAGCTGCCACCCCCTAACCTGCCTGAGGGGTGGTTCTTGTAGAAGGGCCTCCTGAGCTGATCAAAGGGGTTGGGAAGGTATATATGGGTGCAGACGCTCCTTTAAAAATTATTTGACTAATTAGGGCTACTTATTGCCTCCTAATGACTTTCTATACAGGTCCGAGAGCAGATCACAAGGTGCTCTTCACTGGATTTTAAAAACTGCCTTGAATAATGTCAATGCATAGAGAGTATCTTTCTCCTGTGCTCTCTCTGGCTTGTTTTATTTGAAATATTCAAATACTCACATCAACTCCAGAACTGATAAATATGAGGGGGATTATTGATGGATTGGGTTGAGCCTTAACACGAAGACTTAAGCTCCAATTCTACATTCATTTCCCAGTCACATGACCATCAGAGAGATGCTGGTTCAAGTAGACATGTGCAGGATTTAAATTGTATGTTTGGAATTTTCTCTCATCAAATATCCATTAAAAGATTTCTTCCACTGAAAGAACTGATTATTCTATTACCCTATCTTGCAGGCCCTTTACAGAAATAAGGTAAAGAGAACACTCAAGCATGCTGGATAGCTATGGGAAGCTGTTTCAATGGGAAAAGGAGAACAGCTTCCAAGGGAATAGATGCTTTGCAAAAACTGTGCCAGAGAAACACACACATATCTTATTCTTTTTTACTGAATAGCAAAATATTAAAGAAAGCGAAACTGAAGCAGTTTTAGGGTAAATGCACAACCAAATCCACCCTGAAATGTTTGTTTAATTTCTGGTTGACGGGGGGGGGGGGGGGTTGGACACATTCCTCACAAGTGCAGAGTGGCTGATGGGTGGAGAAGACTGTTCCAAAGAGCCCGGAAATTTATCAAAAAGTGATAAACATTCATGATTCAGTAATTCTGCCACTGAAAGAAATTAAAATGCTTCACAGGAAATTAGAATAGTACAGACTGTGCCAAAGTGATTGACCCCTTAGTTTGTTTTCCTCACAAGATGATCCCTGGTGTTAAAATTGGGCCTCAGGATGATGATGTAGCATTTGGGGAGAAAGATACAGCCCAGGAGAGAAGCACCCGAGGCCAAGATGGAGAAGATCTCCACAGCCACCATGGCCTTCCCCTTGGTGCTCAGGTAGGTGGGCACAAAGGAGACCCACACGCTGCAGAAGACCAGCATGCTGAAGGTGATGAACTTGGCTTCATTGAAACTGTCAGGAAGTTTCCTTGCTAGGAAAGCCACTGTGAAGCTGATGAAAGCCAGGAAGCCCATGCAACCTAGGACAGTGTAGAACATGCTGATGGAGCCTTCATTACATTCCACAATGATCTCACCAGCCAAAGAATGGAAGTCCAAATCTAGGAATGGTGGAGAAGTAAGCAACCAAGTAGCACATATCATGGCTTGGATAAGAGGACAGACCAGCACAATGGAGATTGTTAGTTGTCTCCCCAAGAGTTTTCTTGCTATGTTTCCTGGTTTGGTAGCCATGAAGGCCAGAACCACCATGATGGTTTTTGCCAAAATGGAAGCAACAGCCACAGAGAAGGTGACGCCAAAGGCAGCTTGTCTCAGAAGACAGGTTATCTTTGTGGGTTGTCCGATGAAAAGGAAAGAGCAGAGGAAGCAGAGCAGGAGGGAGATGAGGAGAGTATAGGTGAGATCTCGGTTGTTGGCCTTGACGATTGGGGTGTCTCTGTGCTTAATGAAAATTGTCAGCACCAGAAATGTGATCAGAGAGAGGACAAAAGCGCAGTAAGCTAAAATGTTCCCTAAAGTCCCTTCATAGGAAAGGAAATGGATCTTCTTGGGAATACATTGGTTTTGGTTCTTGTTTGGGTGTTGATCCTCTGGGCATGTGCTACAGCGATCTGCATCTGGAATGAACAACATCTGCTGAAGTATGGCATGGGTTTTTTTTTTCACAGGGTGGCAGTTGAAGGAGGTGATAGAAATATTCATTCTACTGTGAATATTATGAGGATATTGTCCATTGTGTTTCTGTCTCTTTAAGCTTTGACAAGTGTCAGAAAAGGCCCGTTCTTGTTTTTCCTGTGGTTTAAAACATACTCAGCACTAACATTATCCATGAAGAATTGGGGAAATGTGAGAATTCCAATCTTGGGGGGAAAACTCTACGGGAATTAACAGGGTTTGCCAGCATATTTTGTTCACTTTCCTTCTGCTGCCATTGACTCAAGTTGCAGTGAGTCCACCCAAGGAGCAGACTTCAGGCTTTTCTTGTTTCATAAGAAGTGACCATCTGAACAAACTAGATGTCTCTATTATTTTACCCTTTGTGGGGGTGACTTTAAATTTATGCAATTGTGTCCTAACAGGGAAAAAACTGGCCCTATTTCCCATGTTTGCACTTTCTGCTAGCTAATGAAAAGCAGCAATAATGTTTTCCTTCTTCACTTGTCCTTCCATACTGTCCTTTACAGAGCCTCAACACTGCATTTTATATCTGACAGGTTGTTGGCATTGTTACTGTAACTTCCATCTGTATCCTACTTTTTCCCTCTTGGGAGGAATTTAAGATCCTTGATTTTGTCTACACAACTACCTACCTTGCAAAGTAGGTTAGCCCGAGCATGAATGCCTGGCCTAAAGTCACCAAGTGAGCTTCAAGACTCAATGGGGACTTGAAACCTGATCTCCCAGGTTTCTAATCCAACACTGTAACCCCATGTACCACTGACTTTCTGGTTTTCTCCCTCAAGGATGCAAAGGTCTTTCTGCCTCAGAGAGGCATCACCTCCTTACATCCTTCAAGGAGCAATCCTTTATTCCTCAGACACCATCTGAGGGGGCATATACTGAGGTTGGAAACAGTGGGCAAACACAGGGCTTGGTATCAGAGATCTAAGCCCTCCATCTCTCCTTCCCAGGGCATGGAAAGAAATGTGCAAGCAGCTGCTCTCTGAGGTCAGGACCTTAACCGTAGTGGATGAGGGAAAAGAGTGTTTTATTGGATAAGGAAGAAAGCAGAATAGGTCCTCTCCAGCCTTCTTTTGGACCAATCCAAGGCATTCCAACTGGATGGACAAATATGTGCAACTAGTGAAAATACCCAGGGGTAGAAGTAAACAGTGAATGCTCACCTTGGCTACATCTTCTGCTCCCTCTCAGAAGGCCCTATGTTTCTGTGGTTGGTAGGGCTATCATTATAACAGAACTGAACTGTTGGTGATGGGATGGAGAGCATCCAAGGGTTTCATCCTGGAAGCTCAGAAGTGAAGGAAGAAACTGGCAAGCAGGAACATGGCTCTGTTGTGCTAAATGAAGTAACACTGGGAAGATGACACTACACTGCGGACAGGTGGAATCATGGAAATGCCAATGGTACTGCCAATAGCATATTTAATATTGCTTATTGAGCAGATGTGCACATGTTTAAAGACCCAGAAACAGAAGAAGAGTCCCGTTTTTTGCAAATCACTCCCTAGTATCTAGTTATTTAGTTTAATGCAATTCAATTAATTTTATTTATTTTATTGGTAGTAGTGATGATATTTTTCAAGTACATACTTGTATGAAATGGTGAATACTTAAAAACACACACGCACACACACACACTGTAAGGCATGCAGTCCAAAACTGACTGATAAAATATTCCTTGGGAAACTGGAAGACTCATCTCCTTGTCTGTGATCTTCCCCTTGGTCCCCACTCTGCTCCCCCACCCCTGCACCAATTTTCTACAGTTTTACAAGACTCATACAGCTAGGGGTACCTGTCAGGTTAGACATTGTCCCATCTGGACAAGGATCGCACCTGTAGCAGCAAACTGGCTTCCCCTCTGGAACTTTTCTTCTCTGCCCTGGAAAGCATTGCTCCACACATCTCCCAGAAGTCTTCTAGAGAGAGAAATAGAGATTGAGAGAGAGAGAGATGTTAACCATTTGCAAGTGAAGGAAGATATACTCAAGAGGATTCAACAGAGTCTCCTGTTTTAGGATAGATAATATCATCAATTTAGGAGGTCAACACCCTGTACTAAGAAGTCTATTCTGAGCAGCAGAGAGTCCAATTTCAAAGTAAATTTGCTTCAACTACAGATCCCATCCCCACATCTGTGGTTTGTGGAAAGGGACTTTTTCTAGCCCCAGTTGGAGGTGCCAGGGATAGAATATGGGACATTTGCCTGTATGATGACTCTTTGCAACTGAACAGACTCCCGCTACAATCTCCTAAAAAGACAATTTCTTTTCTGAAGGGCAGAATCACAATATTTTCATGCTCCCTCATGACCCCTTGACAGTGATCTCAACCCCACCTGTGTAGCCCACACAATCTCATCAGAGTTGATGGTGAAGTCCTGGCCTTGGGGAGCTGCTGCATCTATTTCTCCCACTTTCACAGGAGCCAAAGTCCAATTTGAGAAGAAGACCCAGTTCAGGATATCATATCTTTGGCCATTTTCATTACTGCTGTTGAACCAGCCTTTCCTCAAAGTAGCCAGAATCTGAAATGAAAGAGATGCTTAGAAAATAATGGTGATTGTGAGTCCTGGCATCATCTAGCTGATTGTGACTGTCATCAAGGCAGGAGAGGACTCTTCCTAAGCTCCATTATTTAATTGGATGCTAAGATGCATCTTCTTGGGCATTGGTTGCGCCCATATACTTGCCCAGTGGTTGTGCCTTTTTAGTTGGGGATTATTTGCATTCATATCTTTGAATGTGTGCTGGAGGAAGTTTGCTCGTAGCAGCCAAGAGGCCAAAAGGTGAGGTTCTTCAACTGGTGGTGAGAAGGAACATGGTCTGGGAGGAGATTGTAGCGCTTTATGTCCAATGGGTCAAGGAACAACACACCATTGCAGATCAGAACTAGGGATGGGTAAAGAATATTTGGGGGGGGGGATCTGTCAGATTCCCTGGGACTCAGCGTAGGTTCGTTTTGACCTGTCTGTGAGTCTGGGATCCTGGCAACTACACCCACCATGCACACAGTGCTCACCAGGTACTGAGCCCTGCATGCTAGCATCCCATGTGCGACAGCCTTTGTTTGCACTGTGGCATGTGATGCAGAAGAAGGTTGCAGGTTGCTCAATGTTATTCCACAAGCATTTCTTCTCAGCTTGGCTTGCTTTCCAGGGCAAGGCTGAGCCCAAGAAGAAGTCTACAAATGCCAGAGGGAGGCAATGGGTGGAGCTTTGATGCATCCATGATTAGAAGTATATTTTGTAGTAGAGATTCTCACATTCTACCCTTTCAAGATCCAAGTTGTAAATGTAAGTTGTAAATGCATGGAGAAGATAATAATGCTAGGGAAAGTCAAAGACAGGAGAAGAATAGGAAGACCATAGCTGAGATGGATTGACTCCATCGAGGAAGCCACAGCCTTGAACTTAGCAGAGCTGAGCAATACAGTCATGTATAGGACATTTTGGAGTGGTTTAACTCAGGGGGTTGCCATAGGTCTTCCATATAGTTTGTGTACTCTCAGAATCTCAGGCCAGCCCTGGATGAAATCTGGATGGACAACTTAACTGTTATGAAGTGCCCAGAGAGCTTTGGCTATGGGCGGTATATAAATATAAATTGATGATGGTGATTTCAGAGACAAACTGATGACACATTACAACAATCAGTGTCCCCAGTCCCAAACAATATTTAAAGGAAATAAGGGCAAGGAAGTGAGTGAATAGGGAATGTCTATCTTTGGCGCACTACAGTGAATCAGTAGCCTCTCCCCAAAGGCTCATCCTTCATTTCAGGATCAGACCACTGAAGCACTACCAAAACACCTTTGCTTAGATTGTTCAATCTGAAAGTTGGCAGTACCTGCCATGGCTGGACATGCCAAAGCTTCTGGCCTTCCACCATCATGACATGTTTGGATCCAGCTGAGGACACTGAATGCAGCGCATACGCCATGGAATAGATGGCACTATAGATGCTGTAGCTGCGACTGGACATGCTCATGCTGAAGGTAGAGGGTGGAATCTTCTCCAGATCCTCCTTCCCATGACATATTTTTCTCCCTGACTGACTTGATTTCAGAAGCTGACAGTCAAATACAGTTTCCCACCAGATCCGGAGAAAAACGTCACCTTGTGGTCGGAGCGGATCTAAAGATTGGATAAATTGCTTGAATTCCTGAACATCCCTTTGGCGTATTCTGAAGTGCAGAGCACCATGGAGGGTTTTTAGATACGATTCACCCTGGAGGGACCCTCTCATGGCAGCTTCCCAATGTGTTGTTAGGATCCAAACCTTCTGAAATATAGTATTGGTCTTTTCTTCATAATTTTTAATCCACACTGCCAATTGTCCTACCCCAGTATTGTCTCCAGACACAATAATCACTTGGGGTTCAAACCAAGAATTAGGAACAGAGCCACTCTTTATTTGAAGCAGATAGGTTGGGTCCATTGACTTGAACATTTCAGTGAAGGCCACACAGATGTCCTTTGGCTTCAGCATCCATGTCAGTCTCTGGATGAAACGTTCTCCACTGTCATCCTCAGAAGCCATCAGTCCAATCCAGTTCCAGTGGAAATGCAGGAGAAGCTGGACTAAGCCCACATACTGAGCCATTTCACTGGGATCAATCGGGAAGAAGGAAGGGAATATCCTTGAATCCCCTTCAACACTGTCAAAGAAGCCATAACCAAACTGAAAAACAGAGTTTTCTTTTAGTCTATTGCAGAAAAAGGGGATGCTTCAAGCACAAGCTCACCTATGAATATAGCAACGCCAATGCATGCATATGAAATGTGCATACGCATGGAATGGTGCTCCCTGGGAACTGTACATACTATATACATACCACCCACTCAAATGTTGTAAGTCTTTTAAGGCCCTCTGTACATCACAATATAAGGTGAAGGCTGAGTTATCTAATGTTGCTATTTCAGTCTTTTAGCTATCTGAAAGGCGGGAAGAATATCTTTGCATTTTCAGTAACCCTGAGATCCTCTCCTTCTGGAGAAGAGCTCGTCTCCTAGATACAATTGGGTAGGCCTTCTGACCCAATGCCACGACATGGGGTCAGGGATGACTGGGCATTGTCTCGTCCCGCTGTTCTCCCTTGTTCCCTCCTTTCATTTCCAAGCTCTGTCTGTTCTCATGGTCTGCCTGAGTACCTGGAGATGATACCCTCACCTTCCTCCACCATCCCCATTGCTCATCTGTCACGGTCCTCGTCCAAAGAGTCAGTGCAACCACTTTTACTCTGGAAAGTGTGGCAAGAATAACTGTCTTTCATTCTCAACACCGTTTGGTTCAGTGGAGAGCTCCAGACAATAAAACAGGACAGATGTAGCATAGGACTCATCAGTTTTCATGAAAGTAATGGCCCATGCCAAAGAGTGTATAATCATGCCCAGGGTGTGGCATGGAGAACAGCAAAGAAGGTTGCCTTTGCTGACTTCATTGCATGCTTGAGTAGCTGTCCAGCTGACCTCTTTGAGTCATTTGGGAGGTGTTTTCTCCTAACCCAATTAACCCAGTACTGGAAATCTCGGAGGTCCACTGAGTTGAATTTGCAAGACACTTCAAGGATCACATCACTTCCCACCCTGCTGGTTTGAACACCTGTTGAGATTATCTGGTGCAAAATCTTTTCCTCTTTGGGGTGGATCCGTTTCAGCTTTTGGAGTATGAGATACCAACCCCACATGCTCTCTCAGCCCTTGCCCTTTTTAACTTTTTTGAGCTAGCCACAGTGACTACTTAGATGGATGCAGAGAGAGCTGAATTAATTCATTGCCTGATGATGTGTTCTTTGCTACCTTGCGGGGAGCATTGGCAGGACCATTCTTGAAAAGTCCCTCCTGGATCCAGAGATCTCGGCCAACAACTGTCAGGTGACAAATACCTCATTTCTGAGTAAGGTGCTCAAGGAAGTGGTGAAGTCTGAACTGGGGTTATTGAACAGAACCAGCTATCTAGGTTCAGGCCTGGTTCTTGGCTGGAATCAGTCTTGGATGCCCTGCTGGATGACATTCTTTGGGGTCTGGGAAGTGCAACCATGTTACTTGTCTCGATCTTTCAGCAGCTTTTGATGCTTTTGACCATGGTGCTTTCCTGGACAATCTCAGTGAGCTGGGACTTGGAGGCAGTGTTTCCCAATGGCTCAGCTCAAACATTAGGGGATGCTTCCAAAGAACAACACTGGGCACCTGTGATTTGGGCCCGTAATAGCAGAACTGTGGCTGCCATACTACCCCCAATGTTGTTTAGTATCTATGTGAAGAGGAGAAATCATCAGGAGATTTAGGAAAAGATGTCACAGCTCTTTGACACCTGAATTAGGAGAGGCCATACATGATCTGAATGAGTGGGTATCAGCTTAGGGAGCCACTGACAGCCAGTCTATCAAAGGCTGCAGATTTGGTATGCTATAAAGTATCAACAAGAACAATGAAGAGTCTTTCAGCGGCATCTTTCCTGAGATCCTGTGTAGTGTGATGGGGAGAGTGCTGGACTGGGGACTAGGAAAATCTGAGTTCTAGTCCCCATTCAGCCATGGAGCTCACTGGGGGACTTTGGGCCAGGCACAGAATCTCAGCCTAACTACCTCATGGGGGATTTGTTGTGAGCATAAGGTTGTGAGGAGGATAATTATGCAAACTACCTTGGGAGAAACGAAAGGTAGCAATGTATTGTAATACGTAATAAATTGATGACCTTTCTTTGTGAGGCTTTATTTCTCACAACCCTGAATCTTCACTGACTAGACCTACTACTGGCTGGGATTAGCCCTACATTTGCCACCTGAAATTCCTGGTTACTCCCATAGCTCTTGCACGGCAGGTGGACCAAAGTCTGGATGTCTGCACCTCCTGGCATCCCGCATGCCCACCACATGGGAAATTTTGTTTCAGAAGTTGGCCGTCCATCTCCATAACCCTGAGATCTGCAGGTCCCTCACTTCAACCCCAAGAAAAATCCCTTTACCTGTGGGATCTTGAACATGCCCATCAATGGTGCAATCTCCTTTGAAGATTGGGAGTTGAGACCCCCAATAACGGCGAGAAGTCTATTCTGGTCGCATTTATAATTGGGAACCATTCACCCCCGAGTGGAAAGCAGCGACAGGCTATTCCTATGCATGCTATCAGCAAGGTCCATGTGTTCATACAAAAGGAAGCCCAGGGTTGTGTTGGGAAGGAGAGTGGGATCCTTGTTGATCTCTGTGATGGTAAATGCCAAGGCCAGAAGGTGCTGGTAGTTCTTAACTATTGTGCTGCAAGGATGAGAGCGGCATAGGGAGGTGGGCAGGAGATAAGACATGGAGAGTGACAAAGGACCTTTTGATCCTTCTAGACCAAACACATGGAGGTTTCACAATGAAACGTCCTCCAAAAGAGAAACAAAGTCTTTCTACAAGCTTTTTCAAAGGAACTTCTAAAAGCTCTGCTGCATCGGAGATCTAATTCAGCACATTTACCATTTTTTGACATTACTTTTCATTATTTGTATTCCTTTCACTGGGTTACAAATGTTTCTAAAAGAGTTTACAGGTTGAAACAAAATGCAGTAGGAAAGTCCAAAGAAGATACAGCATTTTTAAAATTAGGAGATTTTCACAGGACAGTTCTGCCTGGTTTAACATTGGCTAATAGCTCATGGGGCAACCAAGAATAAGCATGTGTTTAGTAAAAAAGAACACCAGTTGAGCCATCTGGATAAGACCCATGTGATTCCATGTACCTCAGCATCCTGTTTCTGCCTGTCAGCAACCATGATGCTTCCTGCGAGCCCCATGAGCTGAAGGCAACAGCCTCTTTCTTCTTCTTGTTTCCTCCTTAATTCCTCCCATGCCTTTGACAGTCTTTCTCCAAAAATGGAATCTCCATTTAGCTATCATGGTTGAGCTTCCACTAAACCTGTTCTCTGGGAAATTGTCTGAACATGTGAAAGCAAGCAAAACCTAGCAGGCTTCACCACATCTCCAAAATCATCTTTAGCATGACTTCACAGGGATTCACAGCCGTTGAAGAGAACCAGCACAGCACTGTGGAAAAGCCCTTGTTTGCATGCAGATGTCCTGCGTTGAGGCCTTGACCAGGGCTGGGAAATCCTCTGTCTGAAACTCAGTTGCTGCAAGGAATTCTCATCCAGTTTCATAATGCTCAAGGAGGTTTCCTACTTGAATCGATCCTTGGCACGAGGACTTCAAACTGGGTTTCTCTCTGGAGAAATGCCCATTGTTCAGTGATAGAAAACCTCCTTAGAAGGCAGTTGGTCCCAGGGTCATTCCGTGGCATAGAGAGCCAACCCTGGCAGTGAGAGGCCCTGTCCAGCTCCTTGGAAAACCTCTGTGAGAAAGCAGCATAGAGAGGATTGCTGCTCTGAATGAATATGAAGCAGCTCATGGTGGTTCTGCAAAAAACTGCCCTCTATTCAAAGACGGGAGGATGACATCTTGCTTTTGGAATCCTAAGAACCCACTTTCTGGAACTCCCAGTTCAATCGCTAGGAGAATTCCTAAGTAGGATCAGGGAGGGAAGCACCTGAGACTCACGGAAGAGGGATGCGATTAGATGGACCAAAGATCTTTTCAGTAAAAGGAAACTAGCTTGATTATTCAGTCAGTTTTGGTTATTTTCCACTTTATAGAGGAGCTGCAGAGAAATTGATGAGTATTCTATGCTCCAAAGTATATCATGACACAGACTAAATGATTGGGAAAGCTGACTATTAAAAAACTGTTATAAGTTGAAGTAATACATACTTGTGCCTTTTTTCCTCTTCCTTTCTTGGGTTTCTTCCTGGGAGAAGTCCGTTATTGCTTTATGAACTATATAATTCATGCTGTGCTCAGTTTCATGTGGAAGTTTATTCCTTGAAATGCTTGCAGTATTGACCGATTAACTGTAACCTATTCCAGGCCCCACTTATCTGAGCTGTTCCCCACTTACCATAGTTATAAATCTCCCACAATTATTGAACGCTTTAGGATGATATCT